ATGGGGACTCACTGGGCGGCCAGCGGGGCCGTGAGGGAGTACTTCATGAGCACAGGCAGGGTTAGCAGCTCGCTCAGCTGCACTGCGGTCTCGCCCACGGCCGGCCGGACCTGAGGGTCCACGGGGAAGGTGAAGGCTTGGGGAAGTACGTGATGGACGAGATGGGCGGCGGGGGGATCCGCTGTGAGACAACACACTCTGTTGTGGTTCGGGAAGCACTGGCCCAGGGTACTCGCCCGCTGTGCCGTGCACTCACACATGGCCTCGTAGCTGTCCGGGTACTGCTCCAGGGGGTACAGTCTCGCCAGGCCAGCTAGGTAGGCCTGTTCCTCATCCCATCGCCGGGCCTCAGCCTCCACCTCTGTGTCTATGTCCACATCCACATCCGCCGCCTCCTCACCAGGGCCGGGAAGCGCAAGAGCAGCCGTGTCCTCCTATAGAAGCTGACCTCAAAGCACTGCTCCTAGGCCCTCCACCTGACCCCCAGGGCATGTCCACCCTGACCTGTGAGTCCAGAGGCTGGTGTGGAGACAGGTCCTCGATGTCCCTACTCCACCCTGGGCCTGAGCAGACACAGAGAGGAAGGGCATCAGCCCAAGTGCCATGGAGGTGACAGCGTGGGACTGGCCCAGGCAGCCTGTGTCCCTCAGCCGCCCAGACCCCAAGGACTAGGAGCCCGCAGGCAGCTTCACATGCTCTATACCCTCAGACCCTGGAACCCCACCACCACAGTTGCCCTCACCTGGCTCCTCGATGACACCACCTCCCAGAGCGCCCAGCGTGGCCACAGGAGAGGGTGAGCCCTGGAGGCCACCCTCCTCCCTACCGCCTGCTCCAGGGGATCCGGTGGCAGGCTCCGCTTCTGCACATAGAGGTGGCCCATATTCCCGGGCAAGGCTCTCTGCTGCCAGGCTGCCCACCTGGGACCTGTGGTCAGGGAGGCTATAGGACAGCCTGGGGAGATTGAACTCAGGTTCCAGGAACGTAAGCTGAGTGGTGTGGCCATCCCAGCATGGCTGGGAAAAAGCCACATCTGACATAGTCTCCCCAACCTGGATGCTGGCATCAGACACATGCCCATGGACATTCCAGCATGGCCGGGAGGCAGCCACGTCCAACACAGTCTCCCCAGTTTGGATGCAGGCGTCTGACACATGGCTATGTGTGTTCCAGCGTGGCCGGGAGGCAGCCACATTTGACACGTTCTCCCCGACCCGGATGCTGGCATCTGACACGTGGCCGTGGATGTTCCAACGTGGCCGGGAGACAGCCACATCTGACACGTTCTCCCCAATCCGGATGCTGGCATCTGACACATGGCCGTGGATGTTCCAGCGTGGCCGGGAGACAGCCACATCTGACACGTTCTCCCCGACCCGGATGCTGGCATCTGACACATGCCCATGGACATTCCAGCGTGGCCGGGAGACAGCCACATCTGACACATTCTCTCCAACCCGGATGCTGGCATCCGACACGTGGCCGTGGATGTTCCAGCGAGGCCGGGAGACAGCTGTTCCAGCAGCAGAGTCCTCTGTTGGAGCAGCTGCCTCTAACATAGGTGAGAGGGACCACCCAGGGAGATGGCTGCTGGACTCCTGGGTAGCACCATGTGTGAGTGGGCATGGTGGATGCAGAGGCACCTGTGTGTCTGGTGCACACTCACCTGGATTCACACCTGTGTCCACCCACAGCTGCTGCTCCTCACAGCCCTTGACATCCTGTGGGGACTCTAGTGAAAGCATGGCAGTTGGAGCTGGCCTCAGAACAGTACTAAAATCATATTCCTGTGGCTGGATGGGCAATGTCCCCTCTGCTGAGGGTACCTCTACTGTGGGTGAGGGGAGCAGGTTTGAACAAATCGCCTGTAATGCATGATCGAGGAGAGGGGTCCCATCCTGCACAGGCTGCTCAGCACCTGATCCTGCAGGCAGGAAGTCCGTGATGTTCAGGCCAGAAGAGAATGGCTTGGCCCCCTCTACTGGAGAACGTAGGGGCTGCAGTACTGATGCATTCAGCCTACCCAGACAATCCCGGGGCTGCTCTGGGAGCCCTGGATCACAGCTACAGCCTCCATCTGAGTGCTCAGGGATTGCAGACAGGACCTGAAATGGAAGTACACACTGGAGCCCATCTGGTCTCCCTGTCCCTCAGTCAGGTCTGCAGCAATGACCTACCCACCATGTGCCAAAGGACATGGGGACATCCAGGCCAGGTGCATCCAGCTGGGAGCCCCAGGTCCTATGCCAGCACCTCACCTGGTAGCATGTAAGCGGAAGGACACCCAGTGGCTCCTGTGGCTGGCGATCCTCAGACATGTCTCTCAGCATCTCCTGAAACAACCCAGCAGATGAGGTGGCAACTTCATGACTGCAACACTGGCACCAGCACTCATGATCTCCACACAGCAGCCTTCAACCACCACACAGGGCTCAGTTAAGCACCAGCTCCATACCGTGCACCTACACAGCCCCAGAGTAGGGCAAAAAACTCCTGCAGCCAGGAGAACTAGGGTCTACATGCAGAGGCAGAGAACCAGAAGCTGACACCCTGAGATACCTGAAGGCGCTTCTCATCTTCTAGAAGGAAGCGAAGCCTCACACTTTGCAGACGATGCCTCTGGACTCTCCACAGGGCCTTCTGCTCCCGACGCGCTGCCTCTGCAGACAACTTGCTATAATGGTCAACCAGTGCCTGCCTGAAGCCATCGGAGGACACGGTCACTTCATCCCTCCACACCATCCAGCAGGTTTCCCAGGTGACCTGGTTTTGGCCCTGACGTCCCTCTTCCCACAGGCTCTGAGCTCGTCAGGTGGATTTTTTTTTTTTCCTTCCAGATGAGGAGGCCATGGCAGGCTAGTGCCCAAACAGGAGGAGGCAAACATCTGCTGCAAATACCAAGAAGCCACAGCAGAGGAGGAGCTGGCCCCACCCTCTGGAAAGGGTCTCCCTTGCTAGCTACACAACAGGCATCTTTCTGTTCTGTAGGACTAAAACAGCAGAGGACTGGAAGATCTATGCACAACAGCACCCACAGCAGAAATGGTGCAGACCCAGCAACCTGAGCCTCCCACTGGCAGGCAGCTGGGCCCAAACAGAAGTGGCCATCTCCAATTTGGCCACCATAAGCCGAGAACATGGCCTCTGTATCCAGTTTCTAAACATAAGCACGAGTGCTGCTCACAATGGCATGGGCTCACCTGGCATGACCCCGAGGTACAACTCCACCTGCGCTATGAGCAGCACTGAAGGCTGGGACAGTGGAGCATCAAACACCAGCTGGGAAGAAGCTGCCCTCCTAGGAAGGGCTCCCACTTAAACAGGGAAGCTCCAGCTTAGGGAAAAGCTATGACATCTCAGAGACAGACTCCCAGGAGCTCTGCTAGGCAGATGGCCCTTCTCTGCTGGATATTAATCTAGCAAGATGCATACACCAAACAGAGGGTACTTATAATGAAGACAACTGAATAGAGACGGGACAGCATCACAGTATGTGTGCCTCACCTGGACCCAAGTCCATAAGGAACCTCTGGGCCAGCTGAGGAAGCCCACAGGTCCTACCTTGGTGGACGAGGTGTGCCTTCAATGTTTCAAAACAGAAAGCAAACTGACCATCACTAAGACCAAGCCGTGCCCAGGCACCCTGCCAAGCAGCCATACCTGGCCTTCTTCTCCAGCTCCTCCTCCAGGGCCTTCAGCCTCTTCTCCCTGTCTCGGAACTCTCGGGCGTAGCTGAAGTCCTCATCTAGCTCCTCCCGTCTGGCAGCCAGACGCCGCTGCACAACACACACAACCTCGTTTGCTAAATGTGGATTCCAGAGGCCAGAACCCCCGAGGCTGGGCCCACCCACCTCCTGGTCCTTCACAAACTGTTCCTTCAGCCGCTGGAACTGCTCTCGCTTCTGGGCATCCAAGGCCATCTGCTCCGAGGTCTGCCAGTCTACATTGAGCAGGGGAGAGGCACGGTCACGGGGAGCCCCAGCAGGGCCCCAGAACCATACTGGAGAATGTGGAGCCGTGCTCACCACCGAGTTCACGAAGGACCCTGGAAGCTGCCTCCCGAGCATGGGCAATTAGCTCTTGTTTTGCGATTTCCATACGTAATTCCTAAAAAAAGTCAACACACAAAGTGTCCAATTCTTTCCCATGCCCTAGCTTGGCCCAGGAGAGGGCTGCACAGATCAGGATAAGCAGGAATTATTTCCCCGTCACCACTATGAGAGCATAGGGCGAAGTTGCGGAAGTCTTTGGCTCCAGGCCCCTCTCTGGAGTTAAAGTAAAGTACTCTCAGTCATTGGGGGTGAGCCCCCCAGGATGTGCCCACTAGAGAGACTGAGGACCTTGGAGAGGGGCTCCCTGCTGCCCACCGAAAACCAGACCAGGAGGGTTTTCCTAGGAACGGCACTGACCCACCATCTATCCCCTCCCAGAGCATACTGGAAAATAATGGCCCTACTCCAGCCACTCGTCCTCTCTAGGCAGAAGTCACTGGAGCAGGAATCCCAGCCCTGCCGCCCTAAAAATGCCTGTTTTCTTCACAGCCAGGGGGCCCGGGGAAGCTACCATGGTGCTGCCCAGAAGGCAAAGCCATCAACCCAGGGAGAAGGAAGAGCCCCTGCCCTGGACACATTTTTAACCCTGCTGGTGTCCCCACCTGCACACCACACACAGTGTCAGAAGGAGCCACCTCTTTCTTGCTCAGCTAGCCTGGGGCCTGCATTAAAGTACCTTTTCCTCCTTGCTGATGGAGCTGTGGCGGGCCACCCGCTCCATGCGCCCGACATACACTGCGCAGTCCTTCTCAACCTCCTTCAGCTCCTCGAGGGAGAAAATCACCGAGATGCGTGGGACGGGGATGTCCGACCAACAGAGGTAGTGCTGCCAGGGAGGAACTGCAGTGAGAATGCGTGGAGGCAAGGACAGGCAGGGCTCAGACACAAAAAATACAAGGATGGGCACACAGTTCCGCTCAGAAACCACACATCCCTTACCACAGGGGCAGCATCACCCTCAGTGTCCCTGATGTGAGGGGCATCAGACAGCCCCTGCCCAGCACCTGGAACCTTGCCCCAGGGGCCACTAGATGGGGCCGACACCAGATTCCCACAAAAAATGCTTTAGCAGAGGCCGAGAAGCCCCGTGAGATCTCCCGTCCCTCATGCAGAGCCAGGGTCACACCTGGACGGCTGGCTTCTAGCTCCCCCTTGCCAGTGTGTGGGCCCAGTGCCTCACCCGAGGGCAGCAGAGCTTTAGCAGGTTGATGGTTTTCCCACAGACATATACATCGTGTGCCACGTGCCTCAGGAACACCGGGACGCAGTCCTCCACCTCTTTGGAAATAAGCACGTAGCCATGGGTCCAGTACGACTTGTCTACAGAGGGTGTAAAACACAACATCTGAGTCACTGGGGCCCCACTCGGGTGCCAGGCCCCACCCAGCGGCCACAGCCACCTACCTCTGCAGCCGAGGTACTCGTCATTCACCTGGATCATAAACTCCCCACAGACGTCTCTAAAGACCCCACTGTACACCCAGTCGTGGATGAACCTGCCACAACAGGGAGGCAGAGTGAGGCCATGCGTGGGGGTGGACAGGGCTCCCACCACGATTCTCAGTCTGAGTCGCTGCGGCCGCCCACCTAGGCACCCACCGTGTGTAGGGCTCACAGCTGGTCTTCAGTAGGGACAGCAGCACGGGGTAGTGCTCATTGCTGCAGTTGTCCAACGCTTCCTGGTAGAGGTAGGACAGCAGCCTCACGCCCTGCAGAGGTGAAGGTCGCTGTAGAGCTTTGCACGGACGCCACCCTGCCTGCAACCAGCACCCTCCACACAGATGAAAACTCACAGTGGGGAACGCAGCCCTGGGCTCTCCTCCACCAGTCCCCAGGAGCATGGCGCCGACACCACAGAGCTCAGCCAAGTACCTAGACCAAAGGCCAGACCACAGACAACAGGCACAGGGTCCCCAGGCTGGACCGGACCAATAAGTAAAGCCCCTGTGTATCTTCACACTCCCCCAAGGGACTGGCTTCTGGTCGGACCCCTCCTATACTGCACCTGACCCCAACTCCAGCCTCAGGTCGCCTTGCTTCCCGGAACGTGAACTACCCCAGCCCCTGCCACTCTCTCTTCTCCTCTGACAGCCCCTGTCCAGGGACACTGCCCATTGTTTCCACAGGGTTAGTGAGGCCACTGAGGCCACATCCGCACACCCTATGGGCTGGGGCCCAGGCCAGGCAGGGCCGCACCATGTAAGGGCCATCAGTGGCTCAGAGGGCCAAACTCCATCCCTGGAGGCCCCTTTGCCCTAGCAGGCTACGTCTGTCCCCCAGACCTGACACCAACTCCATGCTGAGGCTCACCGGAGCTGCCGGCCCAGCTTCTTGAAGAGAAAGCCGATGGTGAGGAGACTCAGGGTGGGTGGGGTGGCCAGGACACAGGCTCGGTAGTACTGCAGGTACCTTCGCAGGCCACTGGTGAAGGCCTGTGGGTGAGAGCCAGGGCAGGGAGGCTGCTACACCAGCAGTGCTGCTGCCCACCCTGCATCCATGGCATAGGAGGACAGGAGGCCAGAAGACAGGCCCAAGCTCCCACCAACCCTGTCCCTGCCAAGTCCTGCCCCAGACGCCAGCTCTGCTGGAAGCACAGGCAGCACAACACACAGCCCCATAGTTCCCCAAGATAAAGTGGCCAGAAATGACCCCTGTCCACCACCCCAGTGACCTGGCCTGGCCTGTCCTGCCCGTGTCTGTGGGAACTATGGCCCCTCTAAAGCCTGGGTACCTACCCACTGTGACCCGTGCCCCTAAGGCCTGCAGCCTTGGGTCCCCCTTGGGGCTTCCAAGCCCCCTCGAAGCCGTGCCCAGCCCTCATGCAAAATCCACCCACATGGAGCTAGCTACAGGCTTTCCACAAAATGTGGGTTCTGGGAGGCAGACAGACTCACTCTGGGCACGTTCAAAGTTAAGGTCACCCTGCTAGGTACAATACAGGGGCGCACTTGGCCCAGACATGCTGGCCCCAGGCTCCACTAGGACAACAGCAGAAGTGAAGCACATCACCAGCGCCCCCAAAGGTGGGTCTCCCGGCTCTTCGCTCCAGAACATGAAGGCATACCTGGAACACCAGACCCCTGCCGCAGGAGGAGCCCAGGGCGGGTTGCAGGGAGAAGTGGCTGAGGCGTGTGTAGCAGGTCCCATACACTGCCACTTCTGACAGGATGCTGCTGATGCTCTCAGGGGAAGCACCTGACACGTGGACGCCCCGTACCACCACGAAGGCCTGAGCTGGCTATAGACAGAGAGAGGGTCCAGAGGCCAGGACCCAGACCCCAACATGCTGCCACCTGGCCCTCCAAGACATACAAGCAGGAAGTTCCAAAAGCAAAAGGCAAATGTCTCAAAAGCATACCCCAAAGGGCCTCACTCCTAGTAATAAGAGATAGACTGATGACAGGACAAACACACAGAATGGGGAGACAGGATCCTGAGTCCAGAAACAAACCCTCACATTTACAATCAACTAATTTTCCTCAAGAGAACAAGACCCTTCACGGAGGGTCTGGATGGTCTTTTCTTTTTTCGTTTTTTGGAGACAGGGTCTCACTATGTAGCCCAAGTTGGCTTTGAACGTATGGCAATCCTTCTGCCTCAGCCTCCCGAGTGCTGAGATTATAGGCACGCACCACTGTGCCCAATGAAAACAGTCTATACAAGCAATGGGGCTGGACAACTGGATGTCCACAAAAAGAGTAAAGCACCCAGGACAGAAGTGGAAAAGAGGAACCATGCTTCTATTGTTTCACTGAATCAATAAATATGTCATTCTGGTTCAGTTTATAAAAGGATAACAAACTAACATTAGAATCCAGACAGGCTGACAGTGGCTATGACAGAGCCCCCAGTCGTTCACCTGGCAGAGGGAGAACGTGGCCGACGCCACCCCAAGCAGGACATTCAGCGAGTCCTTCACCAGCTCCTGCTCGGTCACTAGCACGGGCCTCGGGGCCTGCAGGAGGCCCCCGCTGAGAACCTGTAGCTCCTCTTGGCGGAGCCTGCAGAACCTGTCGAAGGTGTCCCTTCCTGCCTCTGTGAGGTAGGGCTCCTCTCTGTGGCCAGGGGGGCTGTGAGGGACACAGAAGGGAGAATGGTAAGCAGAAGGGCAGCCAAAATCTTGGCCCCAAGCATATGTCCCTTCAGAACTTCACAAGAACAAAGGGAGGAGGGTGACTCAACTCACCCTCAAGACACAACTAAGTGTGAGTGCCGCAATTCCCCAGCCTGTCAGCATCAGCCCTAGCTGCGCCCAATTCCACTGGGTACATGCCCTGAGATTCAGAGTGTTCACCAGCCTGGTTTTGAGAAACCACCCACAGAAGGCCCGGGGTCCTCAGGACAACTCACTCACAATGAAAGTTCTCCCATTAAAAATGAACACAGGTATTTAGCTCAGTGGTTCCACCGCCTGCCTTGCAAGCTCAAGGGCCCAAGTTCAATCCCCAGTCCCTCCCTACCCCCAAAAAAGGAACACTAAGTGTATACATCATGTTAACACAGCATCATTCACAACAGCCAAAGAGTAGAAGCAAATTAAGTATCCAAAAAAGATAAGTGGATGAATGCCCATACACGTGGGATAGCATCATTCAGCCATGAAAAGGATAGAAATTCTGACAGCTGCTGCATGTGGATGAGCCTGGAGGACACTACACTGGGTGGGCGAGCCAGTTAACAAGGGAAAACACCACACCACTACACCAACTGGAACTTCCTACAGTAGTCAAATCCCAGGTACAGAAATGAGAGGGGACTACCAGGTCCTAGGGACAAGAGGGAACAGGGGCTATTACCAGTGGAGAGGCTACAGCATCTCAGAATGATGAAATAATTAAACATTTGTACACTGGTATATACACTCAGCACATAGAACTGCACGCTAGGAAAAGGCGTGGACAGAAACCCAAGTGCAAGCAGAAGCGCTCGCGTGCGTGTGTGTGTGTGTGTGTGTGTGTGTGTGTTTCCAACTGGAGATTTTATTCAAGGGGTAGGAGTAGAAAGAGAGAGTAGAGAGAAAGAGCAAGACAGCGAGCAGACAGAGAGCAGGAAGAAGAGGAAGAGCTGTGTGTGTGTGCATTTTTTTGGTTCCGGGTATTGAACTCAGGTCCTTGCGCTTGCAAGGCAAGTGGTGACACCACTGAGCTAAATCACCTAAGCATATATTTTACAGTCTCTACATAAAACAACGTATCAGGGCCAGGGATGGAGCTCAGTGGCACAGCACCTGACTGGAAAGCAAGAGGCCCTGAATTTGATTCCTGGTACCAAAAAACAAACAAAAAAAAAGTAACACAGAAGAACTATCACTACTACCCAACAGGACAAGCAGGTAGAGTGGCCTGGGGTGACTGTGTACCATGTGGGCACACCACACAATGCACCTCACTACACACTCAGGTTTCAAACCCACCCTCAGTGCAACTCTCTATTTGCACCCTGAGTCTCCTGGTCTCTGAAGGGCCACTCCACATTTAAGATCGTAAATTTAAACATCTCGGAAGCCCGGGCCTTGTGTTGCATGCATGTAGTCCACCCACTTGGGATGTTCATTTTAGGCCAGCCTGCGCAACATGGCAAGACACACATCTAAAAAAACACACCTAGAGAACATATGTCCCCTTGAGAACACCTGTCCACTAGAGTGCCCCTTAGTCCTGACACTCTGTGATCAGTTGTTTCCTTTTTTTTTTTGTACCAGGAATCGAACTCAAGGCCTTGTACTTGCCAGGCAGGCACTGTTGCCACTGAGCCAGATCCTTGGCCCTCTAGTATTTTTTTAAGCAGGCAGTGGAACCACTGAGCTAAATCCCTGGCACTACTATTTTTTTTAATTAAAAAAATTTTTTTCATGACAAAGAGAGTAATAATAGTTAATATATTGTGCATCGGGTACCAAGAAAAAAAAAGCGAGGGATTTAGTTCAGTGGCACCATGCTTGCCTTGCAAGAGCAAGGTCATGGGTTTAATCCCTGATACAAAAAAAACACACATACACATAAACACACAAGCACACACACACACACACACACACACTGTTATACTGCCCATAATTTTAAAGGTAGTTACTCAGCCAGGTATGGTGGTATATGCCTGTAATCCCAGTACTTGGGAGGCTGAGGCAGTAGGATTGTCAGGAATTCAAGGCCAGCATGGACCATACAATGTGTTCAAGGCTGCTCTGAACTACATGGCAAGAGCCTCAAAAAAAAGTTATCAGAGCACAAGACATAGACAAAAAAGACTCTTACAAAGAAACAAACGGGTAATAGGACAAAGCATTCTTTACAGTGAACTAAGAAAAACTAGTAGTATAAGTACATAAAGTGAGCATATATATTAAGATATTTTTGAAACAATGGAGTAGGTAATTTGAGGAATTATTTGATTTATTTATCACCTATTTTGCTTTTTTTTTTGGTACCAGGGATCGAACTCAGGACCTTGTGCTTGTGAAGCAGGCGGAGGAACCCATTTGCTCTTTATTTGTACATATATTTGAGTTTATCGCATAAGAGAAACCATGCGATATTTAAGCTTGTGTGTCTGACTTATTTCACTTAACATTATGTTCTCAAGTTGCATCCATTTACCAATGAATGCCTCAAGTTTATCTTCCCTTATGGCAGAGTGGTGCTCTGCTGCGTATAGGCATAAACACCAGCTCTGTGGTCAGTTCTATGCTTTCAGAGGCCACCAACACGATTAAGTGTGTTTGGAACAAGATGACAAATGAGCCATGAGAGACCATGGCTCCCAAACAGTGACTAGGAAAAAACAAACTGCTGCTAGTAAATATTTCCAAAAAACAGCAGTAAGTTATAAGGCCAATCTTTAAACATGCGAGGGGCTAGCAGAGAACAAGACCATGAGATTTGCTTTGTGCATACAAGAAGACAGGACTGATACCCTAGAGAGAATTCCGAGACAGAGAAGCCCCTGGAAAGCCAGACAACTCCCAACAGCACTGCACTGGGAAGCAGGGCACTGGCCACCCCTGGAGAAATCCCAAATGGGCAGATGACTTCGTCCAGGAAAGCTGCCCCTGGGGCACAGTGAAAGGCACATACAGGTTCTTAATAACTGTCCCATCACATGCTCCTCTCCAGGAGACCCTGCGGGAGGCGGGGGCCAGGGCCCTGTGGTGACTCTAATTCAGTGTTCCCCAATCTGGTCTCCCACAGCCTCACCAGCAGAGGGCTCCATGAGCAAACATTTAGGAAATGTGTATCCTCTACTCTCATTCTGGGAGTTTTCAAAAGAACCCAGAAAAGATCTTGAAAAGTCTGTCTTGAGCGCAGAGGCCTCTGGACTCAAACCCACCAAGGGAATGAGTGGCCACTGCATGAGGAGCAAGCTTCGAGCGCCAACTGAGGAAAGGCTGCTACCACCGGAAATCCGCCAGCAGAAAGAGCTACTCTCGGTTTCTAGATGCACAAGTCTCCTTTGGTCAGCATTCCGTGCCCAGAGAGCATCTCCTCCTGGCACAGACCATGGCCTGCCAGGCAGCCCTCAGACACCAGACCAGCAGCCCTGGTGGCGAGGATTGCTCTGACTGGAAAGTGTGATCCCCAGAGGGTAGTGGCTCGGTGGGATCCTCCCTTCCCCTCGGCATCGCTCACCTCTCAGAACTTGGACAATGTTGCGCCCTAGCTTACTACAATTAGCCTAATTCCATCACAGCAGCTTCTAGAAACACCTGTTTGGAGTCACCGTGTAAGCAATGCCTACAGGACACCTGATGCCTCACTGTCATGGGGTGCACGGCTGGAGGGACTGAAAGGCAAAAAGACTCACCATCCAATTCGCTCCCAACACCGCCGCTTGCTGACCTCACAGGTAAGCGCAGCTTCCCACAGGTCCACATCGGGGGTCATGCTTGGTTCACACTGGGAATCAGGAGTCAAATTGGAAGCCGACTGGAACCCTTCATCTTCCCACTGATCCACGCTCTGAGGGACCTGGAGACCACAGGAAAGAGTAAACCTCTATCTATTCCTGTCTGAATACCTGTATGGGATAAATTCCAGGAACTTTATCCACATGCTTCTACTTACTCACCAGAGGGGCAACCCGGCAGAACATTTCTTCTGCTTTTCTCAAGCACATATGCATAGCATAATAAATCACTTACAGAATTAAAATATACACTATGGCTACCTATTTTGAGTATATTTATTTACTTTACTTTTTTGAGACAGGACCTCACTATGTAACCCTGGCTGGCCTTAAAGTCATGGCAATGAGCCTCCTAGGTCCTGGAATCACAGGTGTGAGCCACCACACCTGGCTTAAACACCTTACAATGAAATGTCTTTCACCTGAAAGTTCCATTTTTGGGGAAACATAAAATCACACTAGATATAGAAAAATTTGTGTACACCATGTTTGCTATAGCATTGTTTCAAAAGAAACTAAACATTTCATAATGAGGAAATGACTAATAACAGTGTATCCTTGGCTAGGTGTGGTGGCACACACCTATAATCCCAGCACTCAGGAGGCTGAGGCAGAACTGCCACAAGTTCAAGGCCAGCCTGAGCTACATAATGAGTTCAAGGCCAGTCTGAACATAGCAAGATGCTGTCTCAAGTAAAACAAAAAAACAGTACATCTGATAGTCACAAACAGGAAAACTGAGTGATCCACTCCTTTCTCTTCATTCAACTGTGGGCACAGCCCGCTCTGGTGATTATCCATGTTTAAATTTAGGAGGCCATGACGCCCTAGGTGGCTGGTCTTTAGTTCCAACGCCAGTGAGACAAAATGAGAGGTACTTGTAGTCAGGTGTCTGATCGCAATAGGAGACACCTGAAGTTAAAGGTTTCTGACCCTTAACATATACTAGAAGCCTGAGTCATTTGGAGGCTCGTGGAGAGTTCCTCTTCCTAGATTCCTTTTCCTTCTCGTGTTGCTGCTGCCATCCTATGATCTTCAATAAACATAACTACTTACTACAAGGTGTACATTTGACAATTCTTTCCCTGTCATACGCAAGAACCTGGACTATTTTGGCCCACTCAACTGTAACTATCCTTTCAAAGACTTCTACAAAGCAATAAATACAAATAATTTACTCTACTGAGAAAAACATCCAATGTTTATAAGAAACAGACTAAATTGCATGCATATCATGAACAAATATTGTCACATGTGGGTGAAATATGGCTTCTGCAACTGACCAAGAGACTTTATTTATTGGTACCAAGAATCAAACTCGGGACCTTGTGCTTGCAAGGCAGGTGGTGGCACCATTTCTTTTGTATTTGAATTAATTTAAATAGCAGCTCCAGAAGGCAAAAGAGACTTAACATGCCCAGTAGACCAGTGCTTTGGCCTCCCTGCCCTCTCAGCAGCTCTGCCTTGGAGTGAAGACCCCAAGACACCTGAGGACCTGAACTGGAGCTGCTCCACCTTTACTAGGATACAAGAAAGGACAAAGACAAAATTTTCCACGCCCTTGGAGAGAAACAAGAAAAAACAAACACAACCTTAATGGCCAGTCCAGAGAGGTCTGCACTGTCTGGCACAGGAGGAAGGTCCAGTCGCACATCCATGTCGTAAGTGCGGCTGTACACAAGAGCACCGAACAGCGAGACCCGGGTGTCTCTCTCAAACCTGTCACCACAGGGGTCACCAAATGAGAATAGACCGATGGTGGGCAGGGCGGTGCCTGGAGCCGCCTCCATCACCTTAAGTGATTCCTGGACCATGTTGTGACACAAATACTCCTCTCTGGAGATGAAGGACTGAACGTCCATTTCAAACACGCTCAGATCATAACAGTCGTAGCCACTGTAAGGAACGTTTCTCCCTGCGTGCTTGTTGTTAAAGAAATAGTCCCGTTTTCTCTGCAGGATTTGAGGGGGGCCACTGCCCGCCAGCTGAACCAAGAGGTTCAACACGGACCCCACCTCCAGCAGCGGACAGCAAGGGCCGGCCTCCAGCCCCTCCACCAACTCCTCCAAGCGGTCGGCCTCGGGGCCCAGGCCGCCCACCCTCAGGTCGAAGGACAACATGAGGACCTTGTTTCTCACTGGGAGCTTGGACAGGTCGGGCTGCAGGGGGCGAGAGTCCTCTTGGAAAAGGTTTGTGAAGAGCGCATTGTAGGCCACCCTCTTGAGACTCTGTTTGGCCCTCTTGCGATCTACACTGCGTTGCCCCGGGCGAGGCTGCGCAGCGGGCAGGAGGGCCTCGCACAAGTCGTCGAACAGCTGGGTGATGCTGGCCATCACGCCCTGAGGCAGGAGAGGGCAGCCGAAGGCCGAGCGGTGCTGACACAGGTCGGGACGCAGCCAGCAAGGTTGGCGAGG